ATGAAAAGAGAAATCGATTAAGCGGTGACTGTCTGTCCGTCCGTCCGTCTGGGCGTCAAATAGCCGAAAAGTTTTAAAATCGGACAATAACCACGCCCACATCTCATATAACGGTAATTTGGAGAAATACGAAATCACAAATCAGTAAATATTAAAGCCAATTTATTCAATATTGATGCTTTCAACAATTCCTTACCAGGAAATACGTCTATAATAAAATTTTTGAAAAATGGGCGTGGCACCGCCCACTTATGATCACATATATGTATCTCGGTAACCGTTCTACCAATTTGTACCAAACTCGGTATTTTTATTATGCTTGCTACATAAAAGCAAAACGATGAAAATTATTGAAATCGGACTAAAATTATGGCTTTTCATGTAACGGTAAATTTTAGAAATGCTTTAAACGTCTATATTTTGAAATTTAAGGACGCTAGTTTACTCAAAATTGATACACCTGGGCTTACCATGTAGCGGTAGCTTTCGGAAAGGTGAAAATCATATATTTAATATTTGCGCCGGGTATTTAATGTTGGGCTCCGCCCGAACTCAGACTTTCTTACTTGTTCTAATTTAAATGTTGCTTAAATTAGGTGAGCTGGCCAGCTTCGCAGATCCAATTAAGATCCATAACGTTGCCAGATAAACTGCGGTCACCAACCAGTAGCTTAGCGTTCTCTCTCTTGAGAGATAGGAGGAACTTCGTGAGCTTAACGTCATATGCTTTGCACATAATCTTGGACACTTTGCAGCATTGTGCTCTCTTCCACACCTTCTGCGCCTTCCGGTTCATAGACAGGTCGAGCTCCCATTTAATTACTTAAAGAGAAATCGGCATTTCCTCTATCAGCATGGTTTCCGACAGAGCGCATTATTTGCAAGTCTGCCGCCTCCTTGTTGCTCGTGGCATCAGTGTACCCCGGAGCCGAGTACAGATGAAAGACTGTGCCTGCATGTAGCACATCTTAAGCTGCCCTGCACTCCGTCACACTTCTTGAAGAAGTGCTGCGTAACAGAAGTGCCTCTATCGCAGCCTTAGACTACCGATATAGAGATTCACCTGTTTATTCGATGGGTTGCAGCTCAGTAGCTCGACCGGCCTCATTATGGTCATTCAATCCTCAACCCTCTTTATGGTCAGTACACCCGCTTGGAAAAAGCTGAGGTGGTCCATCAGCTTATAGGATTTATTGAGGCTGCGCTCCGCGCAAACAACTGCCACCTCTACACAATTTTTTTTGTTTCTTGGACCCGTCTGTATAGCCTGGCATTAACACAGCCAGCATTACTCATGCCCTTATGCCAGCCTTCGCCCCCTGTAGTGGCTTCGGAGTTCGTCCCAAAGTGCAGTTTGCGATAATGTAGTGCGTCCGTCTAGCCTAGATGTTGCTCGGATCGGGATCGGGCACATGTTCTACGGAGTAATAGTACGCACCTTTAACCACTCAGCCATAGCGTCTTTAAAAAAAGTGGGATGAGGTGTAGTAAAATCCTCTTAGTTAGAAGTTCTGTAACTTGGCTAACATCCTGAAGAAAGGTGTAAATTAGTTTCACAGATGTATTTGTTCAA